CATCTAAAACCAAATTTTTTCCAGGCTTCTCCTTGACCCTGGCACAGAACACCCCTGCAGTCTCCTGACTCCTAATTTTAATATGCTGGACAAATGAACCCCTTTCCTACATATTATCAATAATAAATGAAAACTTCTTGTTCACACCATCAAAGTAAAGACATATTGGCCAAAGTGACAGATGATAGGAATGTATTCAAACAGCCACCTAAACAAGACTGCTGAGTACATCTCTATCCTCCTCTCTATGAGGCATTGGGAGTAATATTTTACATGAGACTTGGCAGGGAATCAAAAACTGAGAATGTGTTCTCCTTAGCTCTACCAGCTGCTAGAAGTCCCTTAACAACTCTGTAACAGCTCTCTATCTGTGTAAAGCAGACAAAAGAACAAGAGGTATTTCACTGAGGCATCAACCTGCACAAGCCTTCATGCTGCCACTTCATACCATAGTCACTATTTAAGTTAGAAGCCTTCATATTTAAAAGATTTAGGCTATGTCTGGAAACAGAGCCACAGCCATTTCTCCTGCCATCCTCAGCTGGTCTTACTCTATTGGAGCTAAGGGAGCTCTGCAGGCTGGCAGCAGCTAGGGGAAGCAGCTCGTGGCTGCCCCATGCAGCTTCTGTCACTAAAGCCCATCTGCCACCTCACAGAGAGATGCAGGAAGGGTGATTTCTTCACACCATGTCAGCAGTGACCCTTTTCTCTCTCTTTACATTCTAGTGTTGATTACAAAACAGAACCATGGAAGAGATGGAACAAACATTACTGTGCAGGGATGCAGGCCATAGCTGAATTGAAAATAAATTTAGGGCTTAAATTCCCTGTATTTCCTCTGGAGATCCTTCCCTGGGTTTTGAACCCAGGGTGCAGTGCAGGAAGATTTCAAAAGGCTGACCAGGTTCAGAGTAAAGTGCAACCCATGGAGTCCCTCACACTGCATGTGGGCACTGGAACTGTCAGCTCTCCTTTAGTGGGAACATGAGAGCTGTTATCATGAATGTGTCCCTTGAAATTACACTTTCAAACCAAAATGACTCCTTTGAAATAGTGGTTATGTGCTTTCATCATCCACAACAGAAGCCCTCTCCTGGTAAGACTGAGCAGGTTGAAAACATTTCAGATTCACAGTCACGATGCTGGGGAGAGCAGAAACCCCAAACCAGGTCTCTCTGAGCCTGAAGAACACACCCATTCTCCAGACACGTTGCCTAATGATATTATCTCTCATGGGCTGTGGTGCCTCCCTAAAATCCACTCAAACGATTTTTTTTTCCTGAAACAGCTCATCTAAAGAGATGCCAGATGTCAGAGATGCAGCCTGAACATTTGTCCACACTGTGTGTGCTACTGCGCTGAACATTTTTTCTGGGCAGAGACATCCACTCTGGTTCTGTCATCATCTATGCAAGGTGTCCAGCACACCTGCAGGGTGTATGTTTATGGATGAAAACAACTTGGAAGGAGTAAATTGAAATGCTTGAAGCCAGTGTAAAGGCTAAGCATATGGCAGGCAGAAAGCAGGATGCTTTACCATGGAACAAGTTTGTGAAAATCAGTGATTTCAAGCTATGAAAGAGAGGACAGGAAAATGTTTTTACCTCTGGGACCCAGTTGGAGCTCCTTGTAGATGTCTCTTGGCATTAACAAACAGTTCCCTTGTTTTCTCTCATTGTGGTCATAACTGCATTCTTTACTCCCCTTTTCCCATATGAAAATGTTACTTAAAATGAGACTCAGTTCTCCATGGAAATACTGAAAATACAGGTGCCAGAAAATGAGGTCTTTTCATCAGTTGTCAGTGTAGCCCTCATATAAAATCCACTTTCATAGTTACTTTACCCCATGTAATTACACAGCAAGGCCCTGTTTAACATCTCACTACATAATGGAAACTTTCTATTTCAAATCAGATTAATTTTAAGAGTTACTCAGACATTTCAAGAGATAATAGCTGTAATTAAAGTGTTTCTAGTGATGGGTTCCTATTATAACACAGCGGAAGATTCTCTGATAGTCTTGCTGACTGTGTTAATCACAATTGTTTTCATTAATATTGACACTATTCTCTTACCAGACAAACAGAAAAGGAGATTAATCAAAGTACTGTGCTGGTTTCCTTTGCTCTGAACCCCTCTTTTGGACTGATGCTCGATTCTAAGCTTTCAGTTGGAATAAAGAGCAGTTTTTATAGGATGTGCAGGCAGATTCACACTTGTTATTTAAAGCAAAATTTTGAGAACAAAGAGAGATAATTATTTTTTGAAAATCTGAAAATAAAGCACTGATGAAATTTAAATGCTATAGTTCCTAAACATCTAATTTGTTTCCAATTTGTGTGTCAGTGATGTGAGATTGCTGGAATGTGTTCTCACTGGGGAATGAGGTAAGCATGTATACACGGGTTCATTTTCTTGGGGGAAAATTGCACAGCCCAAGGCACAACTGGCACACGAGCCATTGGGGTTGTGAGGCTGACTCAGGAAAATGAAGGCCTCCAGTGGCAAATCCCCATGATGATGGTTTGGAACAAGCATAGAGTGTGTTGGGTTTCAAAATAATGGAAAACCATGAAAATACCAAGGGAAAACTATATTTGCAAATTCACTTTCTGATTTCAAGTACTAGTTATGACGATGTAGCCTCCTAAAAACTGAGTGATAACCACAGAAATTGTTGCTGCTTTCATATATCTAATGCAAAACAAGTATTTTTTCTGTAACCCTTTAAATGTGAAATATTATATTGTATTTTGTACATAGGAGTACACAGAAGTACCCTTCAAATTTGCAAAATGAAAATCAGATCATTTATGCAAATGAAAATCAGATCATTTATCAGATGCATTGCCCAGCTTTAAATCTACAGGAACCTAAAAGGTTGATATTACCAGAGTCTCAGACCAAAGGACTTGGTAGATAATTTATTATTGAAGTGAAAATAATTTAAAAAATAAAAAAGCAAAACAAAAAAAAGCTCTGCAAGGAACAGAGCAAGAAGTCTGCAAGAAGTCTCAAAATGTCTGTGTCCTGCCTTAATGTTGACTTTCAGAGGCTACAGGTTTATAAAATGATGTCTCAGTAGTGATTGCCTCACTGACCTTTGCAATGTGGGCTCAAATCCCACTGCACCTCACATTCTGTTTTGCTTAGAGGGGATCTGCAGCTCACTGAGGCTGTAGTCCCACTGGGATACGGTGCTTTCTTATGGTCCTTGCAAAAAGACAGCAGGTGGGTCTGTCTTCCTGCTCTCTGGTTTCTGGCCAGGACACAATAAAAAAACAAACTCTTGTGGGAAATGGAAAACTAACTAACTAAAAAAAAAATAAAAATAAAACCTCATTCTCTGAGTTCTATATATAACCTTTTAATCTATGATTACAAATTACTTCTTGCTAATGTTTTGTAAAATGATCTTTTAAACTCACTGGAGCCTATGCACTCACTTATTAAAAGCTAGTAAAACTAGTGTGAAGTCTGTGTCAAAATCAGTATTTTAAAAAAATAAGTCCCAGACTTGTACAAAAGAAGCAAAGTACATTGTGACACTGACATCACAAATTCATTACTGCTCAGTGTCTGTTGAATAAAAACTATTAACTGTAGAGGATGTGAAAAGCACAGGGTTTTAATAAAGACGAAGTGTTTTATAATTCTTGAAATGAGACCTGTGGTTGTATCTAGTCTTTAAAAATAAATATTTTCTTTAGGTTAAGAGTTGCTGTAGTTTTGGTGAAGCAGGACAGGATATGCTTCAATTTACACTTCAATAAATAAGAAACAGTTCTACTGATATGAGTAGGATGAAACAGAGGGGGAAAAAATAGACCTGCCATCACTGGGAAATACAAAGAGAAAAAAGACCCTACATCTGTATATGGAAATATATCAAAGGGAATGGTACATAAATATCTCCCATATCCAAATGAATAAAAACTGTAGTTTAAGAAGAGAAGAATAACAATTAGAATTACGTAGACTGAAGGAAGAGAGAGAAAAGAAGAATATACTTAAAGGCATAACTCTTTATGCTGATCAGTCACATCCTCCATCCTATTTGAGGTCAATAAAACAAGTTGTTTTACTCTGCTAGATTTGTTACAAGCTGTTCAAAGACTGTGATAAAGCACGTCTGATAAACAGCAGTGTGGGGGATTTCTCTGCTGGTGGTCCTGCAGTCCTGGCCACAGCTCTTTCCTTAGAGATGTGTGAGCATCCACGAGTAAAACTGCAACCTGCTGGCTTGAGGAGTTAATGCTAAGGCCTGATTCCTTGTTTATGGTTTTTCTGAACCATTGTAAAGCTTTGTTATTGTGGTTGTGATTTATGTTGCTACGAGGGTGATAAAAAGCAGTTTCAGAATTTAAAGGCCTAGCTCTGTGCTGGGGTTAAATAAGCATTTAGCACTTATTTGGTCTGTGAGATTACCATCAATCAAAATAGAAAATAAGCATAAATTGAATATGTTCTTAAGAGCTTTATGCAATCCATATTTACACCTCTATTCATGTTGATTGAAGGCAATCTCTGATTAATTTTTACAAAACAATATAATGGGAATGTTTCATTGTGCTTCCTGGTGCAAAAAACATAACCAGAAAGGCCCTAGTAGTGTCAAGCGTGGGTCTGTCACATGTAGGAGACAGAAATTGTGAAATGTGAGGAATTTTTGCCAATAACCCCTCCTCCACAATTTTCTCTTGGGAAATGAAGAAAGAACTATTTGGGCATGATAATGTAGGCATGACACTTTCTGAATATTCAGAAAAAGCCTTTGGAATAGGGAAATATGTGGCACAAAGGATGCTGTTGCCATTGGGCTCTGGGACTACACTCATGGTCCAGGAGTGATAGGAAGCTTTAGGTTCAATAAGGGTTACAAGTATCCACCAACTCTAACAGATTTGAAAAGAAAAACAAGCATGTGTAGGAATTTTGCTCTCATTCAGTTTTCCAGTTTATTGAAACCTTGTAGGTTATTTCAGTTTGGGTCAGAAGAGAAGTGTCCTCCAGAACTGATGTTACTCTGTGGCTTCATCCTGAGGGTGACACACAAACCACACAATGGTGTGTGTGGTTTCCCCACGGGAAGGATCTACCACGTTTCATTGCAGATTTAAACCCCACAACTGATAGGCATCACAAAACTTCTTGCCATTTGATGCATGTTTCATAAAAGGCTGCTGTGTACAGTCTGCCAGCCTGTGGCAGATGGCTTTCTGTACATAATACAACTTTGATGTTACTGAATTTCTGTAATTGCCATTTTATTTCTGCACAAATACACTGTCATCCATCCAATATTTTAAATGCACAAGACACAATGTTCACCAAAGTAATGACTTCAACATACAAAGCGACCATCAGAAACACCTAGTAGCTGCACTGAGGGGGTGTTTTTGAGGAGATGCTTGTTCCTATCCTAGGAGAATGGGCAGGGCAGTGTTTCATGAGGGCAGAATAACAGCAACCTGTCCTCTGAGCAGTTCATCTGCTGGTGGCAAGACATTGCTAAGGGGACCCACAAGAGGCAGCAGCAAGTGAACATCACAAAGGAGTTGGTGGAATGAGGAGGCCGCCGTGCAAATCCCACTCTCCAGCCTGGCAGCATGGTGCCTCAGCTCCCCACCACTCCCACAGCAGCACAGAACACACTTCTACGAGGAGCAGCCGGCAAATCTTTAAAGGGAAACACAACCACAAGCACTTTCCCAGCTATGGGTTAATTTTCAGCCCGAGACACAAAGCTAGTTCAGATTTCTGAATTTTCCCATCCTTGTTCACATCGCAGTGGTTGAGCAGGATCTGGCGGAACTTGTCCAGGTCTACCCCACTAATGCTGGGCTGCAGATAAAGAGAAAAAGAATGCTGAGAGAGAAAATTACTCTGGATTTCCCCAGCTAGTAAAGCAGCCCACCATGCAGCAACTGGGAGATCCACCCAAGGAAGAGTGACCAGAAGGCCCCACATCTCATATGTCATGGGGAAGCGAAGAGAAGATGGGGAAAGGGTGCCCTGAAAAAGCAGAAGGTGCATGGAACTGTAAGTGACTGTATGGAAATACACCATGACTTTTGTGCTCAGTCAAGGCCATCAGTATCTGATCCATATAAAAGAAAACTTCAGAAAGTTGTGCAATACAGATCCCTGCTCTACCAGACCTGTGCTTTCATCTGGCTTCCTCTCTCAAACCTGCTGTGCAAGGACTAATGACATCACTGTCAGCTTACTGCTAGCCTTTTACAGGCTAGTCAGCAATGAAAAAATACCTTTTGTGGATCAAGTCCATGTTGAAGACATTTTACAGGTTACAGTTTCTGTATGGTCCTAATGCTGTACTGCTTGCTCTGCTTCCCACATTCTCAGGAGGGGATCAAATTCACATGCACAGCTTGTAGTGTCCAAGGGCAATGCTGATGAAGGCCCTTATACAAAGTACAAATTTCCCTTCTTTACACACACTCACACACAGCCACACAAATCCAGCCTCCTGCCCATCCCCACACCCTTCCCTGTGCACTGCATGGCCAGAACACACACACACAGCCATCAGCACACAGCTGCCATTCTCTGCTTTCTTCTGAATGGATGTGGCAGAACAGATATCCCACATTGTGTGGAAATGCAATGGTTCAGGCTCAGAGGAAGCTAAAGACCAGATTCTGTTTGGGTCAAAAGCTCTAGCTTGGACTGCATCTGGAAACTCGAGATAATCCAATGAAGACAGACTCTTCTGTCCTTCAGGAGCTGAAGAGACACACTGGGTATGGTATTCTTGATTGCAGACAGACCTCAAGTAATTTTCAATTGTAGCCCTGAGATGAACTAATGAACCATGAGGTCATTCTGGTAAGAAACACATTCACAAGGAAAACAGAAGAAAGAAATTGTGATGACCCATCCATAACATGTCATGCTGTAATGCCTGCCTAATTCAAAGTATGAACTAGAATGGACCTTTTAAAAACAGAGTTCCTGAGGGAAGATGTATTAATTTGTGAGCCTGAATTTCTGTGATATGGTGAAATGTTTTACAGTATACATACTGAGATGGTGACATTGCTTTCTGCTGATGATCAAACTAATTTTTTTCTCTATGTTCTTACTACTGTCTCTGTGTACATAGCTTCTCCAAAAGCACTGATCTTTAAGAAACACAGAGTATTAATAAACGGATCCATGAATACCTTGACCAATTCCATCATGTCTTTGACAAACCCATCCACTTCTGGGCCTTCAAGTGCTCCTGTTTTACTCTGAAAGAAGGAATAGACATCAAAACTCCCCAGTGAGTCAAAATCACTACAGTGTTTACTGGTGAGTACCAATACCTTGTCACCAAGCTTTCTAGTATAAAGTTCACAGAATCATGAAATGGTTTGGGTTGGAAGGGACATTAAAGATCATCCAATTCCAACCATTCCACCATGGCCAGAGACACCTTCCACCAACCCAAGTTGCTCAAAGCCCCATCCAACTGGCCTCGAACACTTTCAGGGTTGGGAAATCCACAACTTCTCTGGGCAAACCTGTTTCAGCACTTCAAGACTTTCACAGTAAAAAATTTCTTCCCAATATCTAATATCCCATTGTTTTTCCCAAACCATCTCTTCCCACCAAGTGGGAGCAATGTCTTCCACCACCCTGAGGGAGTTGTGACTGCCAGAAGCAGCACTGAATTGCTGATATCTAACAGGCAGTTAAATGGTTACGTCTGTCCTGAGCCAGACTCCCTAAATAACCATGGATTTTGTATGGGAAGGGGGTTTATTTTTCAACATGGTGCTGATGCAGGTCCTGAACTCCCAGAGACTATGAGCGCTAAAGCCACCACCTCCTCTTCTTTCCTTGCATCTCCTGCAGGAAAACTGCTAATGCAGCAGCAATGGCCATGGCAATGGAGAAAGTCAAAATGGGTCCTTGACACAAGATCTCTGAGCATTGCTCCTCTCTGTCCCTACTTTACTCCTCCCAGTCTGGCATCTGGGCTCATGGGCCATGGGCTTGGGCACAACTGCTGCTCCTCAGTGACTCCAGCAGCACCCAGCAGGAGGAAGAAGTCTCAGCAGCACATGCTAATTGTCATTTACAAACCACAAGGCAATGAACTGACTCATGGGACTCACAACATCGTAGTGTGCAAAGATCTTCTCAAAATCTCTCCTCCTTTCTTCTGTGCTGCAAGCCTGCATACAGAGAGGACAAACAAATGAAAAATTAAAGCAAAAATTTCAAGTTTGGGCCCAGGTCATCTTAGCTGGAGAGAGGATGAATGTATCAAAAATTAGTGCTACTTACATCCATCTTGAATTGCAGAAGGAAATTTTCCTGGAGTGCCAGAATCCTGAATGGAGAGATTTTAATTAGAATCTTTTCGCTTTATCATCTGCACATGACCTATTCTGAACTCTCCTTGTTTGCAAAGCAAAGGGATGTTAGATTAAAGGCCTGTAAAAGAGAAAATTGCCTGTGGGGTTATTTACAGAGGGCTATTGTGGGAACACACGCCTTCCTCCCTGTCTGATGGAGCACAGAGGGTGCCCTTTGGTTCATCACAGACGTGCCTATTAGCACCATTGCTTCTCCCAGAGCATTTCTGGTGGTCCTGCACAACAGAGGGTGTCAGCTTCCGAAGCAAGAGTTATCAGACAATCATTCCTTGTAACTGGGTTGCTGTGCTGCATTAAAGAAAGTGATTTATGGCTCTCTCTTGGAGGGAGGGCTTGGTGGCTGTAAAAGTAAAGGACAAAGTAATACTGGCCTGTGCACCAAGACTGGCAGAATTTCTCTCTTTTCATCTCCTAAAGCCTGTAAAGCACTAATAAAACCTTTTCTCTCTCCAACTGCTCTGTTAACCCTGAGGTTTTTAGAGCCTGTGGCACAGGGCATGCTGAGCTGTGTCTGCACATGGAGGGATTTGGAATCTGAGAAATGTTTTCAGACTGAAGGAGATCCTCAGATGGCCTGGTTCCCAAAAGGGAACTGTATTTAAGAGAAAACTGTAACAGCAACCCCCTTCAGATATTCTCCATCCTGCCACAGATTGTCCTCCTATATTCACAGTCAAAGGGAACTGCTGTATGCACTGCAGTTATTTGTGCTGCCATTTGTCGGGATTAGAAGCAGAGAGTAACAGTGGCAAACAAGACCTCTGTCCCCTCATCCTCTAAACTGGCCTTTTAAGACTGTATCTGCAAATTTAAAGTCCTATCTAACCAATGCACATAGTTTTACAGAGAGAGGCATGCTCTCTATCTCTAGGCAGTGAAAATAATCTAAAAGCCTCTGAGGTATCAGGGACAGAAAAGAGACAGAAAAGAGACAGAAAAGAGACAGAAAAGAGACAGAAAAGAGACACAGGCCCATGACTGAGTCCCCAGCTTTATTCAAAAGCATCTCACCTTGGCCCTCCAAATCCTTTCCTACTGCCATTGCCACACTCTTTTGTGGTGGCACTTTCATTATTCAAAATGAAAAAAATTTGTAAAAGTTCTTTGCAATTCCTGCTGCACATAATGATGAAAAATAAATGCATGTCTGTAACCCTGTTGAAAGGATTGTCATCTTTCTTTTGGAGAAACAGAGCCATGGGTTGCTTTGCCACCTCCTGGGAAGCACCTTTGATTATGGCAGAGTACATTGACGTACAGACAGACCCTGGCATTGCTCTTGTCCCTGGCTCTAGATTCTCAGATTATTGCAATGGGGACCATGCATTGGAGAGGTGGGATCAGAGCAGATCTAATTCAAAAGGAGGTAGAATTCAACTGCACATGCCTAGAGGGAGAGGATCACCTTGCATGGATTGACCATTGTGAGCTGAAGCATCCCATCAATATTATTAAATCATACCTTGCCAGGTCATTCAGGTCCAGTCGTCCATCTTTGTTTTTGTCAAAGATTTTCATCTATAAATCAAGAAGACAGAGATAAAACACATGGGCCATAAGTAGAACACACATATATAAAAAAGCAATATATATTTTGCTCTGCCCTGTGCCCTTCCCTCTCAGATTATTGCAATGGGGACCATGCATTGGAGAGGGATCAGAGCAGATCTACTTCAAAAGGAGGTAGAATTCAACTGCACATGCCTAGAGGGAGAGGATCACCTTGCATGGATTGACCATTGTGAGCTGAAGCATCCCATCAATATTATTAAATCATACCTTGCCAGGTCATTCAGGTCCAGTCGTCCATCTTTGTTTTTGTCAAAGATTTTCATCTATAAATCAAGAAGACAGAGATAAAACACATGGGCCATAAGTAGAACACACATATATAAAAAAAGCAATATATATTTTGCTCTGCCCTGTGCCCTTCCCTCTGCTTGCTCAGGGTGCTTGCCCAAACCCTGGGCAGCATGGCATCCTGTGTTAGCACCAAGTGCAAGGGTGGCACAAGGGAGCAGCAAAACCAGCCAGCTTTCTGACAGCAACAACCCAAAGCAATCAAATACCACTACCTCTCCCTTCCCACCTGACATGGGGATAAAGCAAGTCTGCAGGAAAGACCTTCAGAAACTAAATACTGACATTGCCCTGGTCCTGGGGAAAAAAAAAAAGCCAGAAAGAAGAAGAAATTTCTAAACACTTCCACCTGGACTCCATCCTTAACTTTGACTGTTGCTGTGGCTTCTGAGTAGCTGAGGTGCAAATGTCACCTCCTAATCAGCACTCGGGTCAGGATTTTACACCTCTAAAGCTGTGGGGCTTACTTGGCTCAAGGCCTGCTCCTAGAATGGACTAAGACTCAGAAGAAGGTTCAGGCTACCAACATCAAGAGGTTAAATGTGAATTCAAAACTTCTTCTTTTCTTTTACTGAATAGCATAATTTTGATGAGCCATCACCAAAAAAATTTTATTTATTTATTTGCGGTATTTGGTTCTCCATTTCTCTTCAAGGCACAAAAAATGGACTGTTACAAAGAAGGAGGTGGGGGAGATGTTTAATGAGTTACAAGCCTGAATATCTCATGGCTCAAAGTTCTAGAAAAAAAATATTCTACATTGAGTGTGGAGGGAACATGAATATTTTACTATGACAGATTATCTTTCTTTGTCAAATACTCAGCTAAGGAATATGCATTAATCTTACCTTAATAGATCACATTTGCTTGTTTACTGGCTGTGCAGAGTAATTGGTTCACTACAGATCTTTTGTGCACTGCACAGCTGCTGAGGAAGGCCTGAAATAGCCCCATCTGACAAAGCTCAGACAGACAGGATTATCCCCTATGACATAGCCTGAACACATGGGAGCCAGCAGCATATCCTGAGCACTTCTCAGCAGCGGAGTCAGGGCAGAGCCTAATAATCATGTGAGAAAAAGTAGCATCTGGAGATCTGCCATTTCTCAGGGAGATTTTGCGTGTTTTGTCAGTGCTGCCTCTTCCCTGCCCATTGCTCAAGGGGAACAAAGACAGCAAGTCCATGGTAACCCTTTACTGTAGCACATTTAGACTGAGATTCTGCAATAGACTCTATACCATTAATTATTCTGAGTATTTTACACTTGTGAGATTTGAGTGGAATTTTTGAAGAGGTATTGGTATGGGCTCACTTGTCCTCCCATTGAAAGACAGCATGAAAGTCCTATGAATGATTGAAAGCCCATATTGAGATATTTGGAAAAATGGCATCACAAGAGCCATGTGGGTGTTCAGTGGCACAAAGAAAGCCATTTTCCCATTGAACTGCCCTCTGCCAAACATATACTCTGTGCAGAGCCACTAAATCACAGAGGAAAGACTTCTGAATCCTCCTTCACTCTAGAGCTGGGGAGACAAATAAAGCTGCCAGGCCATCCTGAGGACATTCCCCTGGTTGCATCAGTCCAAGCTGTTCCCTTCCAGCTGATCTAATTTCTTGCATACTGCTTCCTGCCCCATTAGATCTCCCACAGCAATATGGCACTTTTCCCTGGTGTCTGCTGGAGCAGCAGTGGGACATGACTAGAGGAAGGGATGGGAGCAGAAGCTGACATTGCTGATTCCACTAAGGGGAGAAATGTCCTTGCAATGACAGCCTCCTACTGCTATCAGAGAGATAAACCCAGGCCTTCAGGTCTTGGCTGATAAAGGAGTTATTCTGCAGAAATGATAATGATTAATATTCTTTCTAGAAATAAATAAGCCCAGATAACATTTTAAAAGCCTCTCTCCAAATGGATCAACAATGCCTAACCTGGTTTTGTCTGTTGTTTGAGGAGAAATACCCCTACTACTTCACTATGGTATACTTTCCACCACTGATGACATTGCTACATCCAGCTTACATCATTGCTGTAAAATATGCTGCCTAAAGGAAGCTTATGGAGACCACCCCTATGTAGCTGGCTAGAGAAAGTATCAGCATGTGGATGGTGGGAATAGCATAGTCCTTACGGTATTCCATAAGGGCTCTACAGTAACTTCAGTGCTTTTGAAAATGCCACTCTAAATCCCTTGGCCACCCCTTGGTTTAGGCCACCAAGGAGCATTAGTTACCCACATGCTCTGTAGGTCACCACAAAGCAGTGCAGCTGGTGGGGTGAGACAGAATAGCATTTTCTGGGAAAGGACAGCTTTTGGTGGGAAATACAGGGCTCAGCTCTCAGGAACTCTGCTGCCAAGTCAGCGCAGCTCTGGCTGAAGACACTGGTCTTTGGTTCATACAAAAATACAGTATCTTTACCAAAACACACTAAAACTTACTGCCTTTAATAGTCTTAGTACTTCACATGGATTCTCCATGTTTCTGAGCTCCTGAAAGTGTGTTTTATTTTCTCCCATTTCTGCTGCATCTCAGAATTACTTGTCTTGAGACTAAAATTCAGTGCTTCAGCTTAGACTTCAAATTCAGATATATTTTTCTCTCTGTGATGCCTCAGAAAAGCAAGCACTCAGTTTCTGGGAGAAGTTCAACTCTGTGATCACCATGTCCTGATCTCCATACGAGCTTATGGGAACCATAACAGAACTGGTGGTTTTCTGTCCAAGAGCCAGACTTGGGGCACAATTCTCATTTCACATACGTTTGCCTGGGACAAGTCTCATGATTCTTTTCCAGTGAAACATCTTCAGCCTCATGTTCTTTTCCAGGGAATAAATAAATAAGCATCCCAGCAAGGCTGTCCTTTCCTTGGGACTTCATGTGTCCCACCTACCCTGCAACTGCTCTGCTTTGTGGGTGCAGCATATTTTCATGGTTTCAGAAGTTGCAAATAACAAGGGAGAATTTTGTGCACTCTTAATGAAACAGACTAGATGAGAGATGGTGGTTTAGATGAGAAAGGCTTTCTGCTTCATTATAAATTTAGTGAGCATATGGTTTTCAATCATACCAATTTCTGAGCCCTTAACAATATTCCTGCAGCAGTACAGATCCAGAAAAACACATTTAATAGAGAGGTAACAAACTCCTTGGTGGATTTCTTAATGAAAGGAAACATTCTTCTCCTGTACCCTATCTTTCAGCTTGATATTGAAATTTCAGTGACTGACCACATCTACTTACAGCTAACCAACTCCCCTCCCTGACCTCCTTCACTCATCTCTGTAAGAGAGAACCTTTGTGTTTTCTATCCGTTTGGCCTTTTTCTGCCACAACTGCCCTGAATACAATTATCAAACACATGCAATATTTTGATCATCCATACCAGTCAACAGAAAGAAAAAAAGTCTGGCTGGAAGAGCTATGCCAAGCTAATTCTTGCACAGTGACTAACACATGAAATATGGAAAACATGGAGGGAAGAAGGGCTGGTGTTCACTGAATTAGTTTAGGTACCACAGCTAATAAGATAGACCTAATCCTGTTATTGGGACAAGTGGAGCTCATGCATACCCACTACATGGCAGTCGTGTGCTGCATTACTTGGGGAACAGCCCGGGGAAATGTTTTTTAATCAAACTTTCAAGTTTCAAGCATGTGAGTGTTTGATCTGATCTGCTAATTGTGTGCCTGAGTACACAAAGAATGACAGAGGGTATCCACCCCATATGACAAAGCATACAGAATGGGAGAAGCAGATAATTGAAATGGTTATGAGGTTGTTTCTAATTTAAACTTTTGCCTTCACACACCATCTTGATATGTTAAATTTGATGGATTTTCAGTTTACTCTCATGAAAGGTATATTTACACTGCCAGGCTCATATGAAACATCTCAATGTGGTTAAGGACAAGGTCTGGCATGTTTAAATAGCACTCAATTTTACTAAAAGCTCTGTTGCATCTAGCAGTATGCTTTATAAAATGATGCATTTCCGTTACTGTCAAACTACCCCACGTTTTAAAGTATTTGCACAAATTAATTCACTGACATTTTAATGGCAGTGCACCAAGGGCACACCCCGTTTGTTTGAAAGTACTCTGAAGCACTCTGAGACACACAGAGAATATGTAAGAGCTTGGTTTGCAAATAAAAGTTGTTATATCTCCATTTTTTAAAAGTGCAAAATCAAAACTGCCATCAGCTTTTAATTCAGCAAAGGAAATACTGCTTTCTCAGTCCAGTGTTCTAAAGGCCACCGAAGCACCACAATATGACAAACACACACATTCTTTGAAGAGCAATATAAATCTGAATTATTTTCCATGACAGAGATAAGGAAAGAAGTAAACAACCAAAACAAATAGTTCTGTGACCAGCAGACTCAATAAAACCTGCTTTCATACCTTCTCTGGCTCTCTTTCTTTGTGTGTAATTAAGTGGGACAATAAGGGAGTCAGTTTTACTTGACCTCCTACTCTCACAAATATATTTTAATGTATATATCATGGGTACCTATGCCCAACAGCTGAAACAAAAGTTAGCCAGGGAGTACAAAGGTTATTGAGACTGTATAAAGACAAGCATCAGCCCAAGCTGCAGGACTGCCTATGGCCTCTTTCTTTAGGGAAGGATGGGGTCACAAAGGCATGTGCAGAGTGACAGGAGAGCCCAGTGGCCAGCAAGTTACCCTCAGGACAAAAGCTCAGTGTCCTGCCCAGCCAGACTGCCTGTGTCACATAAACAAGTTCTTTAGCACAGGATTTCTAAGAGTGGCTGGTTCCTAAGAGACCAAGGTATTATCTGTTAGGGTGTTCTGAAGCCTGAATGCTCCTCAGTTCTGTTGGTTTTGATCTTCAGAAACAAAGTTTGAGCTTAAATGTGATTTTCTGCTTCCCTTGGCTTATGCCACAGCAAGTGTGGTGCTGGTGGTGACAGCATCCCCGGCATTAAATTGAGAATGGACACAGGAGGCAGATTTGTGTTAATCAGCTGTGTGGGTCCTTTCAGTCACCTGGGAGAGAAGCCAGCATGGACCACTACCAGGAGGAGAAGGGATGATCAAAGACTGCACTTTGGGAACCAATCTTGCAGGCCACTCTACTCCTATGGTATTTCCAGAGCTTTGGGAAGTTGCTTGGTGTGTTGACAAACATAATAAATTCTGTTTAGGCTTTTTTTTTCCCATACAGTAAATATTTGTCTTTTCATTATTACACCTTTTGTTGAGTGGTCACAGGAGACTTTGTTAACAAAGTCTTGACTAGTAAGATGTTAAGGGTCTTAATCACCTGAATTTTCTGTGCTTTGGCTTTTATTTACTCACATGAGTATATTGGCATCAGCACTGAACAAAGATAGACTTTCACAGCCATGCAACTGACCACAGTGAAACTCTGGCACTATCCTTGCAGAGGGGACAGGCAGCAGCCACAAAAGCACTGGAAATCCCTGCAATATACAATAAAGGTAGTCCACAGTGCATACTCATGGACACAGATCATCCTCAGGGAGAAGACAACCTTTTCCCCTTTGTACTGAGAAGATGAGGAGCCCTCAGCTGCAGGCTTGTGCACTTGGGGCGCATAGCTCAGTGCCCAGAAGAATGTTTGCAAATAAGCCCAGCAAAACCATGGTGTCATTACAGCTGGGGAAAAGATCTATTCTGACTTCTCTGGGGTTAAGATTTCATCCCCATCATCATCATCCACAAGCTTTTAAATGCTGTAGTTCATGACCAATTCTTGTTATTAGTCACTGCATTTACATTACTGCCTCTCTAGAATATTAACTTGTGATGGGCAAAGATGGCATGCTGGCTGGATTAGAACTGTCCTTTGCATTTTACTGAGATATAATAGTGCTCAGACATTATTATATCATTATATTACTGAGATATAATAATGCTCCATCTGACATTATCAACATAATTCAATTAAAAAAGTGAATGTCAGTGTTGCATGTGTGACTCCTTCAGCAGAATAAACAACTTAAATTGCTGAAATTTGACTCAGAAATGAGCTTGCCTTGCATGCAGCTTGTAGACATTTGCATTACAAACTAAAAGCAACATCCTGCTATCTGGGAAGCTACGGACTATCAGAAACCATATCTTAAATCTAGTTCGTATCCTGGCCTTTACAATATTCTGCTTAAGTGCATACACAGGTAATGGAACCCATCACTCTTAAAAATTGTTGTCAAATGCATATGTGAGATGGGTATTTCTGAGCTGAAACTTCACCAGGACCCAGAAACCTACTAACAGCTTGATCTTGGGGGTCGAGGGGAGGTGGCAGGGATTGAAAATATTGTTCTACTGTCATCATCCACAGTATCCTCACCATGAAGTTTCAAGGGGGCCAGTCTTCATCTCTCCAGCTCGTGTTAATTAAGGAAGGCAGAAAATTCTCACCATGCTATTTAAACCCTCCATCCATTTTCAGCTATGCTCACTCTGTCTCCCAAAGCACACACTGCAGGACCCCTGGGGCCTCTTCTCAAGAAGTTCAGAGCAATACTAGGCTTCACATCGACCTCCAAGCTACTTGCTCCCTGCCAACAGCCTGTGAGAAGGCAACAAACCTACAGATTGTTTTCAAATTCTAAGAACTGCAAGTGGATGCATGTAAATCATTATTAATACATACTAAATTCATTATTATTAATACAAATATGTATCTATGTAGGCATGGAAGAAAAAACAACAATGCCTACAAAGGGGCTTCCTTACCACAGCATTGTCACTTCAATTCCCCCATGAAGAGTCTTGAGAACTGCAGTGTTCTATGATTTTCCCCAGTGGCTTTAGTGCTCTTTAAGATTTGATTTAGCAGGCTCACAGAGTTTGTGCAATGCCGATGTGTTCACTACCTGTTGTCTTTATAGGAGTTCATCACTTGTTCATCAAAACCCTGTTCTATACCAGTGTTCTCTGAAGAAAGGATGCCAAGGTCACAAGGAAACAGAATAGCCTCTTAAGAAGTGGCTGCTAAGCAACCTGATAAAGTGATGTTCCTTTCCAGAGATGACCAATCTTTTCCAAATGAAATACTGTCTCCCTCTTCCCAGCATTTTTTAATGTTGTCTGAGGTCATTCATAACAGCACAAGGGGCAAGAATTTAACATGCCCTGGTTGGTTGATATCTGCTCACAAACCGCAAATACCCAGCACGGAACCATAAAATGCTGCCTTAATTTTTTTCCTCAAGCCTTGGCTAGCTTTTTTTTAAATTATAATTTTTGCCTTTTCTCCTTTATCTCCAGAAGGCTCTAGGGTCCACTCAGGATACCAGTAGCTGCTTAAGATACGTGCAGCCAGCTGTATCTGAAAAAGGGCAGAAATCTGTATATTCCTGTGGAGACAGATGGGTTCATCTGTCTCCACAGGAATATACATTTCTCCACAGCTCGTTGGGACACAGCTTATTTCAACTGAAAAATAATTACATTGGCCCTTGAAAGCCCTGAGCTGAATAGATGGGCTACCCTGCGAGACCCTGTAGCTATGTGCAGCAGAAACAGGTCCTGCTCCCAAGGACTTTGTGCTCTAAAAAGATAAAAGGGTGGGAGCAAAGCAAAAGGAGAGAGAAATGTAAGTATGTCCAATCTGCAGAAAACGAATCACTGCTGCTGGTTGTCAAAGATATAACAGAGTCAGGGAAAAAATGAATGGTCCACTGACCCATTTGTCCCAAACAGTGGTGATGGTGGTGGAGTCCAGTGGCAGTGGGACTCTGCACTGCAGCAGCTCCTCACTCCATGTGGGAAAGGAGAGGAAGTGAAGGGTTGCCATTACCCTGGGCCTTGACATCAAACCTTTGAGTCACTTTTCCCTCTTTAATCCAGCCCTGCAAATGCAAGGCTGAATCTTTCTTTCCTCCTTGGAATTTTACCTTCAGATATATACTTCAGATAACTTCCTATGCAATCATTTGTGAGTGTATCTGATGCTATAGGATACTGCTCATGTGGATAATTTGCTGTTATATACAGAATTCATATCCTCTATTTTATTCCAGGATAAGATTATGCCAGTGATAATTTCACACCTTGCCTTAGCTTTTGGGATTAGATGTGTTTATAAACATCCTTGATCTTCAGTTTAGAGAAAAGAATTGCAAGGTAAAAATTAATCATCTGCCATATTCTCATTTTCTAATCACCATTAACATCCCTGAGTCTTTTGGCATTGCAGCTTGGCAACCTTTTGTCCTCAGGAGCCAGATTTGCATTTCAGATCATAAATTTCCCTAGATATACAAAGCATCCCTTTTCCCATATCAAATCTTATCTTCCAACATAGAGATTAAACTGCCTCTCTGGAGATACAAAGCCCTTCTACAAGAAACCATGGGAATAGAAACTGGATCTCCTGGCTCTCAGCCCTGGGCTGCATTGATACCTAGCTGCATCGGGGTAGCAGAATCACAGATCTTTCTTGGGAAATTAGAGGGAAGAGAAATTAGTTGGAGGAAATGAACCACCCACTGTCTACAAGCTTCAGATCACCTATTCCCCAGCACCTGATCAGAGATTAAGCCCAGGGATGGAAACCTTAATGGAGGAGAATAAAAGATATTTGCTACCAGCAAATGCTACCAGAAATATTTTTATCCTATCTGTAACTTCTGGGCTTTTTTTGCTTTCAAACTCTGCCAGTTGGAAAATAATTTCTGCAGCTGGCATTCCTCTCTCTTCACTGTCTTATAAATATGAAAAACAAAATATACACTCTTCCATAACAGTACAGCTTCTCACATTGCTCTAAAGGGTCACATTTCTGGGCGCACACACATCACACATACAAAACATGTTATTGCAAAATATGTAGGCAGCTCCTTGTTTGCTTGCATACCAAGCTGGTTTTTAGGTACAAACACAGATTTTGTGCCAAGAAACAACGCAGTCCCATCTGAAAAACATTTAGAAAATTACAGTGATAGATGTCTGCTAGTGGAATTCAAATTATACCCTTGAAAATGACATCCAGAAAGTAGATTTTTTCCCTTCATGTTTTTAGATGTTTAGATATAATAAGTTGCTCTGAAATCCAGGTGACTGATGCTGAACCCACACCAAATACTATGTTGTTGATTGCAGTATAAAAGTTATATTGTGATAAGCCAGGTGGAGAACTGAAACTTTTAACCTCTCAGTCTTTCAGGGAAGCAGCAGGGAGCCAGCAAGACTTGCTGGGCTCTGAGAGCAGAAAATCCAGATACTTGCATGTCTTGAAAGTAAAAGGATTTGCTAGGAGGAAGCGAGGGAAGGAGGAAGTGAATGAGCTGGAGATCTGCCTGAAGCTGAACATATCCTGAATAAGGAGGCACCTCACCTGCATTTAAAGGGGTTTAGAGATCAGCCTGCTTTGGTGTTGAGCTCTTTTCTCAGAGGAAATAGTTTGACTCTCAGCAAAACTATTTGAAATGCATTCACAGCTGATGTCCAGTCCAAAAACTGTTAGCAGCAGTGTAAGCTAACTCCCCCCAGGGATCTCTGACACACCTTTTATGCACCTTGCAGGGCTTTTACAGTCCTGCAGACATTGACCATAAAGGAGATTTTAGGCTGTACTCAGATCTAAAAAACATTAATTCTATATTTTCTTACCATAGTATCAGTATACTCTTCCAGCTTTACCTCAGCAACCATCTTGTTATGCTGCAAAAAGAGATCTCGCAGGAAATCCTGTAGTAAGAAAAGACAGAAATTTTACTCTCTAGTAGAAATTCAAGAAATAACAGTAGGAAATTAAATTCAAATTCAGCTGGGTTACACAAATCTAGTTTCACATTCCTGGTTAGTACTAGTGTCTTCAGTTTGACAAAGTTCAATTTTTTTTTAGCTGAAACATGGTGTTTTTTTGAATAAATTAGAAAGTAACTGAATTTTCCCAGAACAGGTATACTGGAGCGAGTCCTAATAGACTTGCAAAATAAGCAAAAGACAACTTAATCCTGCAATACTTGCTAATTGATCTCAAATAAAAATATTTGCATTGAGTAAAACACTCATGCCTCCTCTAATGTCTTTGCTGGGACACAAGCTGTAGCCACACACTGAGACTTCAGCAAATGATGAGCAGCCCAGGGATGGACTTTTGTGACTGCTGTCTCAAAGTGTTTGAGTTATGGTTTCTGAACAAGCTCTTGCCTCAATAGCCTGAGCTTTAATGAGAAATCAGTGTTCAGAAAACCTGCAGGTTCAGGAAGAGATTGTGAAGAAATTCCCTTAATAAAACACAATGGCTTTGGCTCTGTTTAGCTGGGAGAAGCACACGTGCAAAGCCTTGTGGGGCTCACTGGGTGCCTCAGGTCACCAAGACAACTGGGGTCATGGGACAAGGCTAGTGGCAAGCAGGACATCAAGGGCAACAGCTAACCATCCTCCCTCCAGCAGGGCCCCTGAGACCATGCCAGAAGGCACAAGTCCTCAAACTACCTAGGAACAACCCAGAAATGCCATTTGTCACTCACACTAAAAAACGGCAAATTGGTAAAGCCGATGGAAGGGCTCCCATTGACATCAGTGAGCTGTAGGTCAAGCCCAAAGAGATTTGTTAGAATAACTTACTTTGAGTTCAGCAGCTGAAATAAATCCACTGCTGTCAGCATCGTAACTGCGCCAGATCTGAATGGGGATAGATTGATGTGAGCACACAAATATGGCAGTTACTCATCTGCTCTGTGATAGATTGTAAAGATTCAAAGCAGAACTTGCATAATGAGCAAGTTGTTGCATTAGCCAACGTTTAATTAATTTTAGATTAAATAAAATAAACTTTTCACACAATAGCTCTTACTCACACTTGGATGCTGTACATGCTACATGCTGCTATCACATGTTTAATGCAGACACACTGTCTATAAAAGGAAGACAATACTAAGATACTGTTATGCATTTCTTACCTAATTTGTACACGCAGCTTATTTTATTACTCTGACTCAAGGCCATATACAATAGGCCATTGATCTGTAGAAGCCCCCAGCAGGTATGTGAAATAAAAGTAACTGCATGAGGTTTTGGAAAAACTGAAATTCTCCACTGGGATACTTAGGGGAAGAGATCAGAGGAAGACTGGGAAAAATTCTATGGGCTTGTTGACCAAACTTATGGAGATGCCCTAACAGTCTAATGTTTCAGGATAGAATGGTGCTTAAAATGTACCTGTTCTGCTGTCTTTGTCTATACTGTATTGCAGGTGAGGAGCTGTAGGGGTGAACTGATGAGTGGGGACATTTTGTCTGTAGTGGCATGACTGATAGGTGGCTGAGAGTGTTTGTGAAATGTAATGAGTTCTCTGGGTACCCTTGGTCCAGTCCTAGATACCACACCTCTGTTTTGCTGGTGTAAATAATGTAAAACATTCTTTACCTGAACAGGTCAGAATGTGTTTTACTTCCACAATACCCATCTATTTCCCAAGCTGTGTTGTACAGGTGACAGAAGGGTTGGTGCTGAAGGTGCTGGTGGTGTGCAAGGGGGAGGAGGCAGTGTGGAGATACAGACCCGCATGAATTCCACGCTGTTGTCCAAGGGAGTTTCCCGTCGGAAAAGCAGTAGGAAATTCTCATCATCCGGCAACATCATATTTGCAAGCTGGATTGAAAAACATTTTAAAAAACCCACACCATGAAAGTAAAGAAAGGAAAAACTTGGGTAGCTACTGATCCAATATGTGAAATACAGGTTTGGCATGGAAATAAACTCAGAAATAAACTCCAGATCAAAGGATCTGGCGAATGTAATACTCTATGAGTCACCTCCTCTGCACCCAGGTTCTATCTTCCAGATCTCCCAAGTCTGCTACAGGTCTTAATCACAGAATGGTTTGGGTTGGAAGGGACCTTTAAAGGTCATCCAATCCAACTTCCCTGCAATAGGCAGGCACATCTTCAAGTAGATCAGGTTGTTCAGAGCTCTGTCCAACCTGACCTTTGATGTTTCCAGGGATGGGGCATCAACCAGCCCCCTGGGCAACTCCTTCCAGTCCTTCACCACCCTAATTTTAAAAAAAATCTTCCTTAATCTACTCTTAATCTACCCCGTTTCAGCTTAAAACCATTACCCCTTTTCCTATTCCTACAGACCCTATAAAAAGTCTGTTCTAATTCTCCATCCTTCTATAAAAGAAATCCTGGGCTGGAGTTGGGCAGAGATACCTCCTGGATTTGCAGGCGTCCATCTGTGGTGACATCATAAACAGACATGAATTGCTCCTTCATCCTCTGAACTTCTTCTTCTGTGATGGTGCTCTGCCATGGGGAAAACAAGTGCATGAAAATTGCTTGTGCTTTTCAGGAAGATGTCCTTACCCTTGAATGACATCTCTGCAGTTCATTCAAGTGCATGAAAATTGCTGAGGGCAGCAGAAGACTCTCCTGGAATAAATCTCTCCTCACTCACAAATAATCACCAGGATCATTGCATTCTTACAGTTGGGGGTAATGCTTTTAAAAACCCACAGATATACCATTATGGATAAATTGTTGGAAATAAGTCCTATGCATATCCTTGCAGCTACTAAGCTTTCAGTTGGAAGATCATTGTTTAGGAGCCCAAAAATATTTCAGTGACACCTGCTTCTTTACCCAGCTGTTCTCATTATATCATTGGGATTTGGTTTTGCTCAAGTGTGTATTACAGCAGTTTATATCCTGCTTGTTTTCAGCTTGCGCTTTTCAGGAAGACATCCTTACCCTTGAATGACATCTCTGCAGTTCATTAGTTCATCAGCCTTGAAAGGTGTCAGTGGAGCTAGATTGTTGCTGATTATTGCCTGTTAGCTGATTTAAGACCTGGCACCAAGCCCTGTCAGTGTTTCTGGGTTAATAGCACAGAATTTCAAGCAATTGACATTCTCCTTGTATCTGCTCAACCCTGTAATCGATTTATACATAGTGAGGAGTTCTCCAGACTTGCCAGGTTAGGTGTTTTGACAGGCATTGCTGTGACAGGTGAAATACAATGTTTAGGTTCATCAGGCATGGTTTCTTTAGCAGAAATCATGAGGTTCAGAACCACTCTGATTGGACTACACAAAATACAATTTTCTCACCATGTGAAAAGGCTGGTCATATGAGCTTGGTGGCTGGGCTGGGAAGCTCATCTAGTTAATCTTTACCAAGCAATTAAGTCCTGTGTTACCCTCAGCACCCACACTGAGCAGGTCCTGGCTTCTCTTCCAATTGTGTGGGAGGTGACCCTCTCTGGGAAGGGAGGGAAGGAAGAGAGAAGGATAACCCACACTGCATTGTGGCATACCTTTGTATAAATTTTACAAGACAATAAATTACCTTCTTCCCAATCCCTGAATAAAAGTCCTTCAAAGTTTTTATAATCTCTACAGCCAGGTGGATTTGGGATAGCAGCTATTCCTTCCTGAGTCTTCTAACCCAGTTTTTCATTCTTTCCAGCTGCTATTGGAGCTCCATTATGCTGTACACTCCCTTTTTTATCACTGTGGCACAAGACCATGAGTGACTTTCTGAAATTTACTCAGTGCACAGCTCACACAGTGCAGTCCTTGGGGTGCATCCTTGGTGTGTAACATAACACCAGGGGTGGCAGCTCCCAGTCTGGGGATGAAACACCCCAAATTTACCCAGTGCACAGCTCCACACAGTTCAGTCCTTGGGGTGCATCCTTGGTGTGTAACATAACACCAGGGGTGGCAGCTCCCAGTCTGGGGATGAAACACCAAGCAGCGATCCCACTGGGATACACCCAAGGTGGCAGGCCCCAGAAGGAGTGGCTGAGTAGGTCCCAGGGCATGGCTGCAGGATCCTCCTTTCCCATGGTGGTGTCCAGAAAGTCCTGTGGGTTTGGGTTTTGAGGGCACAGCACATCACTAAACACATGCTTTGGTTTTCTTTCCCCTTGGCATGGTAACTCAGCCCCATGATACTTAAATTGCCTTCTGACAGCACCTGGACACTTTGAGACACCTCCAGGAGTTAGGCAATCCTATCAGTTGCCAACTTCAATAGGCTTGCAAAGTACTCGGAAATGATCCTCCCTCAGTAGGATGACTTATTTCCAAAATTATAATCCCAGCTGATATTTGAAAAATGTACTGTGCATTTCAAACTAGTCAATTGTTAAAATGCTTATTGCTCAACCTGGTGTCAGCTATTAACCACCACTTCACTGAGCTGTCTGTGGCAGGGACACTGTTACCTGCATAAAAATAGGACAGCCTCCTTCTTTTTAAAGTCTGATTTTTACTATGGGATACGTAATGTAAATGCCTGGAATATTTACAATATTTACACAGCTCCAAAAGCTTTTAGTTCAAGGGGTTACACTATAGTGGGTTTTTCAATCTGGACAATCTTTACATCTTCACAAATATTCAACTTACAAAACACAACTGGTAATAGTTCTACCAAAATCCAGCCTTTACTCACATAGAATAAAATAATAAAGCACAAACTGGCTTTCCCAAGATGCACGTACAAGACAAAATTATTCCAATACTAAAAATTTTTACACTAAGAACAATAGACCTTGTGTTATGACCATGAGGTTTCAAAGGGGACCTTTCTCTTTACCAAAAAAAAAAAAAATCCCAGAAGAGTGAAAAAGCCCTGAAAGATCAACTATTCCAAACAGACACTAAGGTTTGGAGACCTGGTTTTCAAGATTGACCTACCAGTGGTACAAACAAGTAGCTTTCTCTATTTTGCTTTCTATTCCAAAAAAATTTAAAAGGCTGGAAAAAAACCATAATCTACCTGAGCTGTTCCCCTTGTCCAAGCAAGGACATGATCTGAGGGCTCACCTCACCCCACCAGCAAGGAGGCTGGGGCTGCACAAGAAGTTGGAAGGGGACACGGCCAGGACAGCTGACCCCAACTGACCCAAAATATATACCTTACCATATGGTGTGGGGCTCAGCATATAAAGCTGGGGAAATAAAGAGGAAAAAAAAAAAGTTTGGAGTGTGGTGTTTGTCTTCTGAAGTCAGCATGATGGAACTTTGCTTTCCCGGACATGGCTGTACAGCTGCCTGCTCATGGGAATTGGTGAATGAATTCTTCATTTTGCCTTGGCTTGTGCCCTTGGGTTTTGCTTTACGTATTAAAACATCTTTATCTCAACCCATGAGTTTTCTCACTTTACTTTTCTGATTACCTCTCCCTTTTCACTGGGCAGAGAGTGAGTGAGTGAGTGAGTGAGTGAGTGAGTGAGTGAGTGAGTGAGTGAGTGAGGCTGCCTGCTGTGTTAAATCATGATGTAACAAAGAGCAGCATACAAAAATGTGCCTCTTGTCTCATAAGATGGATGAGGAGGAAATGGCTTTGCATCAAGTACTAGTCTGTAGCTGAGAATATCTTTATCAGAAAATGCTGTCTTAATTATGTTTCCTGTCTCAAGCAACAGATCCTTAACCAGTTTCAAAGGTTTGCAAAGCTTTCCTTTTTGTGAGGGTTTAAGTGAATTCTGTTGCATACTTTCCAGTCATTCTGTACAGAGAAGCCTTTCTTGTAATTCCTTGTTTTCCCTGGTACATGAACCTCCCTGATTTTGTGGATGATGTGTGGTTTCCAAGGGCTGCTGCACATTCTCACTGCAGTCAGGAAAGATATAATCTTTACTACTTACCATAAGGCCAGATCCTTTTTATTCTCATAAAATAACACAGTTTAAAATATTGCCGTTACTTTGGTTACATATTTTTCAGGGTTAACAAGTAAATTTCTTAATACAGATGTTCTTCCACAGAGTTTAACAGAGAAAAGCTTCTGTGCTTCAAGCTGCCATAACAAATGAATTTTCTGCTTTGTGCTTTCTCCTTTCCATGTCCAGTCTCCATCTCCCCTATGGTGAAAACCCTTTAGAAGTATTTGTAGCATCACAAAGGTAATCTGGTTTTTAATAGTGTTTGTAACACAGAAAGGGCACAATCACATTTTTTTTTTTAATTTCTGCAGGATTTTATTTCTTTGTCATGGCTGGTTATGATTGTTTGGAAACCTGACTGTAATCTGTCTTCTTTGTTAATACATTCCTTTTATATTGTTGCTCTCCTTGCCCCATGCTGACTAATTAAATTTTTGTTCCTTAAGGGATTCATGTGCTTGGCAGAACTTTGCCTTGATGAAAACATAATTATGAGTCACTTGGTTTGGAGGGCAAAAAGTGAAAGTATGGAGCACTGCAGACCATTTCCTACTCAATGAAATGGGATGTCTCATTTAATTTCTGCTAGTTAAGAAAATCCTGTAATAAACTGATTTATTTTTCCTTCTTGACATGATTTTAGAAGCAAGCTGCAATATTGATTAGGGTATGAAAAAAGATGAAACTACATTTAAGTGACTATTATACCCTATTTCTTTAAAAAAAAACCTAGAGAATTGTCTGAAAATGCTGGCTCAAACACAGGTCTTCTAGTGTTTCAGCAAAACATGATAGAAAGGCCAAGGGTCCCACAGATATAGAGTTCCTACAAGATCTATGAAAATAAATTGTGTCTGCCAAGAAGGAGGGTTGGAAAAGAAAATCAACAACTATTATCATGCCAAAACCTACATAGTACAGATATGAGGCCAGCAAGGACCAAATGAGAGACATCAGTAATGTACACTTTGACTTTAGAAGAAGAATCTTTCATTTTTGGGCCAAACATTTCTTCATTGTAAAAACTAATCCCATGAATGACTTTGTTACCCCCATGCAGTTGTAGGTTGGATGGCCTGCATAATTGTGGGTTTTCATCCTACATCTCCAGGGCAAATTTCTCCTTTGGGCCAATCTTTCTCATTTAATTTCAGTGCTATCACTTGAGAATTTGGCCCTGTACTTTAGTTAGGATTTACTGTACTTCTGCATGTGACAATAGATGAGCACTTACCCTGTCATCCAGCATAATTTTTTTGGTTTCTTTTCTAACTCTCATCAGCACAAATGTGGGAAAGCTTTTTCCCTATAGCAGACACCAGCATCCAACAAAGGCTGCTGCACAGTCTTCTCTGTGCCATCATGGTTTTGTGGTTAGGTTTTGGACAGGTTTTCTGTTCTGTCCTCTCTGCTAGGCTGAAAGTTGTTTGATGTGCATTTAGGTGATGAAAACATATTGTGTCATTTTCACCATGGGTATGTTGAGTTAGCATTAAGAAATACCTCGAGGCACTTCCATGCCTTAATGTGGAGGAACAGGATTAGGAGCTGGCCAGGGTAGTCAAGGCTGATGGAAGCCACACCTAAAGAAAGAACTCTATTTGGCAATAATCAGAATGATAGAATGGTTTGGGTGGTAAGGAACCTCAAAGATCATCAAGTTCCAACATCTTCCCCTAGACCAGGTTGCTCAAAGCTCCATGCAACCTGAACACTTCCAGGGATGGGACATCCACAGCTTCTTTGGGCAACCTGTTCCAGGGCCTCTCCACCCTGACAGGAAAGAATTCTGTCCTAATATTTAAAGAGCCAGAATTGCCTGGGGGTTAGAATTATGAAATATTCTGAATGTGGATGAAAGCTGATTGCTTTCTGCTAGGGATCTTCATGCTATTCACCTGCTGGTCACCATTGACCTTAGGTCTCTTGGGGTGATAAAGCACAGTGGAAGTCTGTCTTGGACAGCTTTGAGGCTGGCTGATATTTTGGCCATTAAACTTCATTTGACTAGCTGTTGCATTCCTAGCTATGCTAAATTATACACATTATTTAGACACACAATGCAGTGTGCAAGGCAAGGATGAAGTGCAAGAGTAGCTGGAGGGTGTTTATATTCTTTGGATGTAAAAAGCAAAGAAAAATCCTTAATGGCTGCTAAGAGTGAGCTCCAGAGGATTAACTTCAGTCCCTTCCAGCCATAACTATCCATGTGGTTTTCAGGCAGGAGGGATTTAAACAAGACTAATACCTGTCTTGTCTAATCAAATCTATACTTCAACAATTGTTGTGGTCTTCTATGCACTTACAGTCATCCTTTATCTGAAAGTTTTCTATCAAATTTGAGTATAATTTAGGCAAAGTGAAATACATTTCTGAGAAAGCCCAATGTCAATGTGCATTTCTCTCTATATCTGCCCAGATATCATTGGTTCTATGGAAACTTTCAGTAATCCAACCCCAAAATTTACAGCCATTCCACTATAAAACTCTTATCTAATTATTATGAGAATATACATAAAGCTCCATTAAAACCATAGAAAAGAGCAAGCAAGGAAGATCCTTAGTGATCTTGATACAGAAAGAAAGATGTACAGGAATATAAGAAAGAAATGTAGGAGCTATAGTTCCTGTTCTAATGAAATTACTTTGATGCTGAAAGTAACTCGTTTCCACTGGGCTTTTGCCTCAGTATAAAAACTTTTAGAAAATGTGTGTATAGAGTTGCCATAATGTAGAAGAACGAGGTTTATGAAGGAGCAGAAGAGAGCTCAGACAGCTCACGGCAGCCATGCAGCAGCAGTTTGGAAGCTGGAGGCTCAAATGGTTAGAGAGAAGTCACAGCAGTGATAAGAGAAACAGGTGAATAGTGCCAGCAGCTCCAAGATGTAATGCTGGCATGAGGATTACACATGAGAATTACACATACCTGGAAACTGAATGGATTTTCTTAGGACTGGGAAGGAATAGAACAGACTAGCCTAGACTGGAATAGAATATTCCACTTGGAAGGGACCTACAACAAACATCTAGTCCAATTGCCTGACCACTTGGGGCTCAACAAAAGTTAAAGTGTGTTGCTAAGTGCATTGTCCAAATGCCTTCAGCAATCACCCACTGCTGGATGAGGAGGGACAGGAAGCAGCATCTGGGATTTGGTTGGTTTACTACAGGTCTACCTTTGTTGCAAAGTTTTCCCTTTCCCCCCACAATTGTTGATGGTTCAATAAAGGACAATGAATTGGCCTCCATCACTGGATGCTATTTCAAGTTTTTTTCCTCTCAGAGTTGTCTCTGTGTCTCTCTGTGGAAAAGCTGTGTCTCTCAGCTTCCCGACAGGCTCATTTTTGCATTGTTTTCCCAGCTGCTCCCATTCCCTGGCATTTACTGCCAGCTGGGGATGCTGCAGAGTAACTGGGAAGAAAAACAGAGCTGAAGGACCACACTGGTCATTAAGAAAAATAACAGCTTAGAGAATGCAGGCTGAAAAAATATAATTATGAAGCCATTCCCTATTCAAGCAGAGACAACTTCTAGCACTGATAACATTATTTACCACTTGTGTAGCACTTCAGACAGAGTCACTAATTAATCCTTGTGACACATCTCTAAGTTGTGCCACTGTATTGCTGTCTCCACCTTTTACCATACAAGGTTCTTAAGACATTAAGAACCCAAAGGAGTAAAGGTCAAGATGAGTGGTACAGCAGAGGGATGCTCAGTCCCAGCTCACTGCTTTTATTACAGAGGACACTTTCTGTAGGATGGTAAATACAGAAGGGACCCTTTACCCCTCCTGCCATAATCACAAGCCTGTACAATATAAATAATATGAAAAACAGAAAAATGGCTCAATGTTGTTAGATAAAGTCTTTGTACAAAGGTAGTTAAAACCTTTGTTTAACTTGGTGCTCAAGTGACCCCCATAGCCACAGGAGTGGGCAGAGGACTGCTCTCAGCCTCCCAGAACAAAGCTCCCCCTGGGTTTTCTGCCACAAAGACAGCCTGCTTTGCCTGCCATGTAATTTTATCACTAATATTACCAGAGTGGAAACACTGCCAAAAGTAGGCAAGCAGACTGAGGGAAAAAAATAAAAGCACTTGAAAGCCTGTCTGAGCACTCTGAAAGTTAGTAAGCACGGTCCTTCAGAATTAGCCTATTTCTTCTATTTAATAGGAGGAGAGTGAGTTGGCTCTTTCTCCATTCAATTTGTGTTAAACTATCTCTTTTGATGGCAAAATTTAGCTAGCAGAAGCAAAGGAGAGGCAACTGGATCAGGGTGCTGAGTTAAACTAGAGTCATCCAGGCAGGGACTTCTAACAAGCAATAAAATATTTTTGATTTCTTAAAGCAGGAAGTTAATTGCTAGAACACCCTCATTTTGCAAGTTCTGTGTGCTGATAAATGACACAATGTAGTGGAGTTCACATTGGTATCAGTAAGACTACAAAAACTGTAGGGGTTTGCTACTCAGCTGGTGTGACACTGTCCTAGGACCTCATGTGAGGGATGCACAAGGGCAGCTATGGGCTAGAGTGGGGCTTGGAGTTCCTCTTGACTCAAATCCTTAGGAAGTTGCCTTCAAAATCATATCTCTGATTATCCCTGGATTTTATCACCATCAGCTCACTCCAGAGAGTCCCACTTGGAGGTCCCACTGCAGCACTGAGCTCTGCAGCCTCATTTTAAGCATCTTCTTCAACATCTCTGTCACTGAGTTTGCTTGAGCATGCTTTGTGTTGCTGTTTCAGTACCCCAAGACTAGCAGCTCCCAATTTCATCTTTTGTTACTAGGTAAACAATCACAAACTTTCTGATTTCTTTTTAAATCAGCTTTTCTGTGTCCCTAAATGTTCTTATTGATGAATCTTTTTTGATTTGTTTGAAGCCTTTTTACATGCCTATCTCTTCATCTAGCCATCCATGCTTCGAAAGACATTTCTGCAGAAACTGCCAATAATTCAATCCAAATTTACTCACAAATTAAATAAAAATATGCTTGAAAAAATTACCCACAGCTTTTTTTTTTTTAATTGCAGCCCTAAATATCTAAGAGTACTAATTGGATTGTAAGTACAATTCTGATTTTACACTTGATACTCAGGAATTTATGCCTTTTATCAGCTATCTTTTCTGTCTTTATTAATTAATTTTGCTTAAAGGAATTGTTTCATCTCTGGTTTTTAGTATACCCCCTCCTTCCATTTGAAAGATGTTTTCTCCTTTCCCTATCTGGGCAGACTCTGAGTAGTGAAAATATTACTATATCCTTTGTAAACTTCTGAGTGCTGGTCTGAGTGGCAGGATTTCTCCTTCACCGATGGTGACACTCATAGGCACGGTATGACCTGGAGCTGAGGAAAGCAGCCCCTGTAAATTGTAGTGCAACTTCTGTTTGTATGGAGATGCAGACAATGAGAGAGGGGAAATGCTGCCAAAGCCAGCAAAGGTAACCAGGGGAGAAGCCCAGAAACACTGTAGAGCCAGGTCTGGATCTTAGAAGCCACAGAATTGATGCTCATTTGGCTTTTAGCCATTTATGGCAATATAGACACAAGCCTTCTTCCTAAGCACCATTTAAAATTAATGACAGTATATTTGTTAAAAATTGACCTGTGAAAGAAACCTATCATATGAACAAAACTAATCAGCACAGGCTTGAACAAATAAACCATGAACATTGCCCTCCCGCTCAGCTAGCCAGGCTGTATGCCTGTGCTTTCTCACTTGGTTCTATTCAGCAACAGTAAATGACTTTCTCTCCACATTGCCAACCAGCCCCTTCAGATGGTGCCAACTACGATCTGCCCCTGACCAGCAGCTGCTGGGCTGGAAACAACTGATCAAACTGCTCAGCTGACTGCACTTGTTGTACGTGCTTAAATGCCACCCTGTTGCCAAGAGAAAAGCTCTTTACTTTGGAACTGCTAAGGAAGTCGGCAATCAGGGAACAACAAACACAAACCATCTCTCAGCATAACTTTTCTTGGACCCGACGGGCAACTAACGTGGCACAGTTACTTACTTCTGGTCCCAGTTTCTCCAGGAGATGATGAAAAAAATCGTCAAGCTCCTTCCCTTCTATGTAACCATTGTCTAAAGAAAGAGCAAATATATTAATGGTCAGGGGTACTGCCCAAGTTCCAGGAACTGCATCATGGGCTGCATGCAAGTAGCTCAAGCCTTCATGGTCAGGATCTCAGCTCTGCCTGCCCACTCAGGGGAGTCCCATGTCCTGTTCAATTTCATCTGTTCACTTCTGTGCGAGGGCTGGGCACAGCTGCGGTGCTCCCTTTGGAATTTTTCTTACAGAAAACTTTTCAGAAACAAACTGGGACCAAAAGAGAGAGCAGCAGATGAAACGGGGAAATTATGAAAAGGCAAAACTTTTGGGGTGGAAAGAGCGATTTACAGCTATGATATTCATGGTGAGGAGGAAGAGGGGGGCTCGAAAACACCGGCAGGACCTCGTGGGTGTAAAGCTCAGAAATATCGGCCCCATGTGCAGCATCCCAGGCACCCACACCGCACCCACCCCGGCTCCCCCCTGCACGGCACCCGGCGGGCCCGGCACCCTCGCACCCCTCAGCCGGCTCCCCCCACGCGTGTCCCCACTTGCCGTCGGCGTCGAAGCGCCGCCAGGCCCCGAGGAAGGCGGCGGCGTCCAGGCGCCCGTCGGCGCCGCTCTCCATGGTGCTGCTGCTGCTGCCGGCCCTGGCCCTGGCCCAGGCCCTCACCCTCGCTCGGCGGCGCAGCCTCTGCCCCGGCCCCGCCGCCGGGCCCGGCTTTCAGGGCGGCGGCCCCGCCCCGGGGGCGGCCCCACGGGGGTCGCCGTGGGGAAGTCTCCCCCTTCCCGGAGCCCGTCCCACCGCCCGCCCGGATCCCTCGCGGGTGTGCTCGGGCTCGGCCGTCGAGGTGGGCTGGAGCAGCCCGACCGCGCAGCCGTGCGTCGCTCGCGTGCGACCTTGAAAGTTGCAAACACCCCCGAACGAAGGCAGAAGTGCTGGAGGGAAATGTGAGGCTTCAAAGAAGTAGTAGAGTTTAAGGGGAGAAAAAGGAGTTTTCTGAAGCTGGTAACTCTCCTCCTCGGTTTGTGAAAGCAGAGCTGCAGCAGGCAGAGGTCTCTCACCTTTTCATTCCTCACAGCCATCAGGAGGGTACCCCTCACCAGAATGAGTAGCCAGACAGACAGAAACCTGCATCGTCTTCCTCCTGTAATACTAATCAAATGGAGAAACCGGGGGGTTTAAGGTCTCTGTGCTGGTAGAGCATTATATTGATGATGACCCAGCTTGGGAGTAGATTTGATTTGAATGTCACCTGTGTATTCACCTGCAGTGATTTTAGGCACGTGGGACTGAGCTGGTCTCCATGTGTGCTCCAAGAATCGTTATTATCTCCTTTGAGACCCTTACAGTTATTTCTAGGTTGCCTTTGATTTGATAGATACATATTTTTGTTTTATTCACGTAATGATTGCTTTAGAGATGCTCTCAGAAGCAGCAGAAAAGGCTTTTAAAAAGTATTTAATGTTTGCTCTGAGAAGGCTCCTATTTTGCCCCCCCCAAAAAAAACCCTGAAGAGCTGAGTTGTGTTTTACTCAGGAAATTCTTTCAGGGATATCACACAGCAATGTCCAGCTTTTCCAGTGTGCAAAGAAAAAGGAGATGCTGTAAATGTGTTTAAATATCAGCATGGCAGCATCTCAGTACAGGGATTCCCTAGACAGCAGCCTGGGATTATCTTTGGACCTTAGAAAAATTATTGTCAAGATCTTGATGCAACAGTAATGCCAGAAGCACTCCTTGACTGTGCTCAGGTGGGGAACCCCAGCATGGGAGAGGAACTCATTAGGTAATGACAATGAAAAGTCTAAATTTTTAGGGGATACCTGCTCAAGTCCCTTGCAGGCAAGAGTAGAGTCACTCCACAGGTTTCTGTCATCTGTCCTTGCCTGATGGCCAAAAATCAAGGCTCACCTTAGGTTAAGGGCTCCCTCGTGGAACCCCTCCTTCAGTCTCCTCTTCTGAGTGCTTCTCACCATGGCTCCCTGGTAGTGGTGGCCTTGTGCTCCATGGGAGCTGCCTGATCTCCTGTGTTAGATGAAGTCACCTGGCACTGCTCCATGGCATGAAGGTCACTTTTTAGGGCCATCTCTCTTCTCAGGACCCAAAACCCATCTGCCCCAGACAGGGAGCATATTGATCCAGGTGTTTAGGAATAGATGTTCATCAGTTTCTAACATGCTTTGCAATCTGGCTTTGGAAACCACCTCCATGGCTGATAATCAACAAGGTCCCCTGGTATTATGATCATGACAACTGGTTTCTTACTAAAAAATACCTTTAATAAAACTAACTTAAGAGAAAACACTACCCATGTTTTGAAATGTCTTGCAAGTGAAAGCACCCTGCCATTTGGAAAGGATGGAGGCAGCAAGATTTTATGGGGTTGGATGCAAAGCTCAGGACACTGAGAAGAGCTTCTCATAGCTGGTTCTCCCCTATGCTTTCACAGGAGGAAGAGCAGGCAAGAAGTGACACCTTATTTAAACTACCTGTATTTATCCAGCATCTCTCACAGCTCCATTGAAACCAGGTCCAGTTTGGAGAGAAGAAAGGATCTTTATGCTTAAAGGGCTCTCACAAGAGCTCATTGTTACCTGTGCATGAGGATGTGGATATGTGTCCATCTGAGCATCCTTGTCATCCTGGACACTCTCAGTGCTGACAGAGAGGGATTTTGATTTCACACAGCACCATACTTGCAAAGGGGGAAAAATGAGCAGAGATTATGGATTCCTCTTCTGACTGCACCAGCTAAGCCTTTGCTCTCCCCACAAAACTCTCTACTGAAATACCTTATAGATATGGGGGCCACCCCATAGATGCACAGCTTACCTCAAGTATTGCACACAATGGATTTAAGGTTCTTAGGAGTGGAATTGCAAAATTTAACTCAAAGTGACTGGAACCAGGTAAATCCCAGCCTGCAGAGAGGATGTGGCTGTCCTGCTACATGCCTAAAATGTGTTCAGCTTCTCCAATTACTTTAGGTGACTCAGTAAAGCCTGAATGAGAAGAAAAACAAACTAAAAAAAAAAAACCAAACAAACAAAAAAAAAAAAAAAAACAAACAAAAAACCACCAAAAAAACCCCCAACAAAAACCAGCTCAGAGAAATATTTATTCATCCAATTGGACTTTCTGTGGAACACTGTAAATTTTAGGAGCGTATTGAACTGTGGACCTATTTGCATTAGTATTAAAACAATACACAGAAGATAGCTGCTGTGTGTGCTACTCATGTGCCAAACTCAGCAACCACTCTGCCTTGGCTTATTTCCTCAGAGGAATAAATAAGAGTTAGAGGTAGGCAGTTAGAGGTACTTTTTATTTTAAAAAGTAATGAACACTTTTAAATAAGGACTTTGGCATCAGCTTTGCACTGTTCAATAAAGTTCCAGGCAGAAGAGTTCAAACCTGTGTTTTGAAAAGCTTTAAAAAAAAAAAAAAAGAATGTGCTTCAGTAGGTCCCTTGAGCCCGGAAGCATTTGCACAACCATTGCCTGGTCCTGCTGTGGGTCAAGGAACCCTCCAGCTGAGGATATCAGCAATGCTGTTTTATTTAACTGATATTGATAATGAATTAAGAAATTGCAATTATTGCCAAGTAAAGAGCAAAATAAGGAGCTTGTGGCCAAACCCTGAGCTTTGCAGAAAGGCTTAATCAAACTGTATATAGGAAAACATGGATAAAAGTGCAGATTGTTCATCTGGAAATAAAAATGAGGGGCAGCTGACAAATGCCTCATTCTTTGGGCCAGACTCAAAGTATTGATATGAAATGAACATTTGGGTTCCCATGAACAGACTAGAGAACAAAAAACCAAACCAAATATTTGGATTTGTGGTAGGACTTTGCGCCTCACCTTTACAGAAGAAAATTCCAAATGCATGCAGGCACGGTTAAATGGAAATAATTTCCTTCATCAAATGGCTTCAGCTTCCCTCAGCTTTGCACTGACTGGAGATGCTGAGGAAGACAACACCAGCCATCAGCATTTCATCTCTCACTGGTCAGGTGTTTCACAGGTGGTTTGGGTCCTGCATGGGTACTGCACAATGTCACAGCCTGGATCCTCAGTGTTCCCCGTTTTCCCCAGACCCTGGCTTGTATGAGGGCAGTGGAAGGTGGGTGTGCTGGCTGAGCTGCTATGCACTGCTCAGGCTGTCAAGTGTGGGGATGATGCATTCCTGCCCTACAAGGGGTCTGTGAGCATGCCAGCAAAGGAAAATGCTGCAGGAGCAAGAGAGACAAACTGAAAGGAAATCAAAATGGAAATAATACAGTCAGTTGAGGCCCCTACTATTAATAAAATTTTTTGGAAATCAAGTCAGAGATGAAGCTGTCTGCTGCAGAAAAGAAATAGACCCCTCTTTCCAACCTATCCTCAGATGGCTACAAGCTGCTTATTAGCAGTAGAGCCCCACCTTCCAATGAGGATGCCTTTCTCTTACCCCTCCTTCCATCCCGCTCCCTCCCTCTGCCCAGCAAATCCCACATTGCTGTGCTGGGCTAGATCCGGGGTCCATCTTTCTGGCTGATGTGGTGCAGAGTGTGGGGGTTCAAGGTGCAAAGAAGGGCAATGATAGTTCAGGTCAGGTACTGATGGATGTGGTGTGGCACAAAGACTACCATCTCACAGACATTTCCATCCACAGATTCCCACCAAAGCTAAGTTTCTCCAGCCTTCCCAGTCAGCCCTCCAAGTTGAGGCTTCAGTCCTCTGTTGTCTTCATTTTGGACCAGCAATGGGATCCCTTGAGTGTTATAAGGAAGCAGACAACCTTTTCCCACAAGGATTCCACTAAAATGAGGAGTCAGGACATCAAAAGGTATCTGAGATTTCCCAAAAGAAAAGCTGATATTTCCCCCACCTACATGCTGCTCACTGTTTCCCAGGGACTGCAGCCTCAGTTACAGTTCATGACTTTGATTATTTTAGTCTTTGGCTAGAATTTAATGTTGTCCAAATAAAACCTGGGCTGTACAGCCTCCACAGCACTCTCCTCTACCCTCAGTTAGGTCCTACTTAACTAAGCAAATGGGAAGGTAAGGAGGCATTCCTGGAACAATGCTAAACAGAGATTACAGAGTTAACTCCTCCATTCAGTGAAACCAAATTGGATTTGCCAAGCTAGCAGCCGCTTTCCTGCCTTCCCTGGCTGGTATCAATTTAAATCAATACTCTTTCTCCCATGCAGCTTTTTTATTCTCGAGTCAACTTACTGGAAAAGCAGAAAAAACAGGCTCTGAAGGATTGGATTCGGGGTCAGCTGGCAGAAGTCATCATAAACAGCCAAAGCAACATCAGCACAGAGGCATCAGAGCAAAAACCTCAACTCACGGCTGGGAGGGATAGTGTCAGCATATCTGCTTTTCCATGCAGGCTTCCCAAACATGGGCATTTGGAACCTGCATGTAATAAATCCCTAGGACAGGTGATGAAACGGTGTCAAAGGCAGAGCAACTTTCTAATTAGGAAGAGAATTGATCTACAGGAGCCTCTTCAGTTTGCTGTGGGATACAGTATAAGTCCTGTAATAACAGATCCCTCATAATGACACCATCTTCTGTGCAGAGACCCACAGATTGTTTTCCCTCCACTCAAAAATACAGCTCTTCAGCTGTATTTTCACTCTTCAGCTTCTTGGTGCTGATGAGCATTGTTGCTCTCACA